CCTCACCACCTAGCCATAAGTCTCAAACCCGTGGGGAAGGAGGTCTTCCTGCCATGGAAGAGGGCAGATAACTGATTTCCGTTCTTTTGACTCTTTTAAAATTCTCTTTCTAAACATGGAGTGTTGGGCCTGTTTTGTTTCTGACAAAGCTGCAGTCCTGGGCTTAGGGTGAATGTGGGAGGCACTGGGGGTGCAGGGAAGAGGAAAATCCGAAAAGCCTGAATATGTGTGTCCCCTTAGCTTATATGTGATCAGCTGAGCTTGGTACTGTCTGTAAGTCTGTCTTCAGGGATTCTCTGCTGGTGCTGGTGCAAGGACTTTGGTTCCAAAGTCCAGGAAGGGCGCTCCCTACCTGCCCTTCCTTTTCTTGGGCAGGGCTCTTTCCTGTTGTGTCTTCCCCTGGGCCTGGCCTGTGACAAGCTCTACTCCATCTTCATCCCTCCTGGCTGTTGCTTTTTCTCTCCAGGGCCTCAGAGGCACTCCTGCTTTTCCTGGGCTGAGGGGGAGTGGGTGTTCTTATCATTACTTTGCCAGCCTAACACATGTTTCCTGCCTCTGGTAACAGGTATGATGAGCCCTCATACACCTGCCCTTTGCGTGTCTCTTGCTTTCAAAGTTTGTTAAAAGTGAATGCTTTAAAAAGGAGCCACAAAATGGAATTCCCCAGGATGGAAATAGGGGGGGAACTGCCGCTATAATTGGGAGCATAAGGGACCACCCCCCCCCCCCCCCCAAGGAGGCCCCATTTCAGCATCTCGGCCTTAATCGTGGTTTCCCGCAGGGTTGGGTGGGGTTCTCTCCTCTTCCCTCCCTCCCCCACTCTGAGGCCGGAAGGAGTTCCCCTCTCACCTCTTGTCCCTGGAGGCAGGTGTTACAAAGCATTTGTACATTATTTCGGGTGTAAAGACACCTCCCACTCGGGACTCATCCCCATTATCCATTTCCACACATTAGGTCCAGCCTGAGAAGAGCCAGGTGGGGGAGCAGCAGCTTCATGTTCTGGGTGGTAGCTGGCTGACTAGCATCTTTCCCGTATTATGGTGCCACCTCCTGCTTTGTCCAAGGATGTGAGGCCTTGTGTTTCCCTGGTGTCACAGACATGGAACAGTCCCCAAAGCCATATGGTCCTTTCCTCCAGCATCATTTCTAGCTTCCATGGGGTCCTGCAGGTAGGGGAAGGAGGGCTCTGGTATAAGCCAGGGACAAAGGCTCCTGAAGGAAATGAGGGCCTCTGGATCTAAGGCCCAGGGCAAGGCCTCCACCCTAATACTGTGGGAGGGGTCTCTCTTAAGACCCACCCTAAGGGTTAATTTAACCCTTGGGTTCAATCTGCCATCTGGCCCAGCCAGGGTTTTCTGACTAAGCAAAAAGTGTCCCTAGGACGCTTTCTCCATGTTCCTCCAATGAAGAGCCCAGGCAGCCCCTTGCCCATCAGGCTTGTCCGAGTGTGACCCATGACAGGGCCAGGAGAGCTGGGGGCAGTGTCCTCAGGTCTTGTGCGGACTCTGCCCTGCCCACCTGCAGTTCCTCAACAGACAAGCCATTTCCACTTCCCCAGAGAAGCAACCAGGCCAAATAAACCTGAACAGGGTCTGTCCGTGTGTACCGGAGCCAGCCTCATTTGCTGTCTGGTTTCCAGTTTCAAGTGTGTGTGGGGGCAAGAGAAGATTGCTCCTGCGATGACTCAGGCCAGACCCAGTTTTTGGGGAGGAAGATTGGGAGAGAGCCGGTTTGCCTCAGGATCTGTGCTCGGGCTTCCTACCAGCCCTCCCTGTGTGCGGCTGGTCTTTGGAAGGCAATCGGCTGCCATGCCTGGTCAACACCAATTCAAACCATGCCAGGAATCTGCCCCCCTGCCAGGTTCAGTTCTTTAATGTGCCTCTTCAGGGACACAGTGTGTCTCTCTGATTGGGCTTCTAAGTCAAAGCCTGATGTTCGTGTCCCTCTCATAGGGGGAGCTTTGGACACAGGACCAGTTTGGAAAGGGTCAGGTAAGAGTTCACTCTGCACATTGTAGAGGGGACACTCTGTAGGCCCATGGGTCCCTTATATAGAGAGGTTGAGCAAATTTGCCTTCAGTTAACCTGGGACTTTTCTGTTTCATTCCCTCCTGCCTCCCAAAGATTATGACCATTTTGTAAGTGTATAAACTCACCTCTGTTAACAGTGGCCAAAAAGCTTTGCGCTAAAAAGGCATGGGAAATCTAAAGGCATCCGTTCCCTGAAAAATGGGTGCCATCCTATCCTGCTACCCCTGCCTTGTTCCTGAAGCCTCTCAGCAGGGCAGCCCCCTTGTAATGCTGTCCTGCATCCCCTGTCTCAGCCGGGCCAAGGGTCAGGAAGGGAAGCCTGTTTTCCCCTCCATGTCTTCAGTCGGTTACCATGTCCCTCGGTCACTGTAAAATGGGGCCTTCGGTCCCACCCCCCTTTTTAAGGCAGAGGTCTGGCCCGCTGCCCCTGGAGCAGACCCTCCTCTTGGGCCCCATATGCTTCTTTGCTTGTCTTTATCCCCCGTTTGACACGATCCACGTCAGTGCCACGTTTCCCCTTCAAGTCGCCATTTGGAGGGTAGGGGATCTGCTTCCTACTGTGACTGGGCTATGGGATTCTGACTACCTTGCTTAAAGATTCATGGTTTGATAAATTTGTATTTAAAAACTTGAAATGTAGGGCGCCATTATGTGTCTGTTTATATTTTTGGAATATTTGTATTACTTACAATTAATAAAAGTGGGTTTAAAAAGCCCATCCAGGAAGGGGCACTGCCTCCCGACCCTGCTGTTCATTTGGGCATCTACTGGGCACACCCTTCACCCCTTGCAACCCCTTCGTCATGATGAAGGTGGAGTACCATGGCTGGGAGACCAGCTGCGGACTCAGCGCGGGCTTCTGCTCAAAGTCACGGAAGTCAGGCTATATTAGCTCTTCCCTAGCCCCCAACAGAACCAACTCCATTGCCATCCAGGTGCTTAATAAGCATGCACTTGGTGTCCTATCGACTTACGGGGATAGACCTGCAGCCCCAGGGGACTTGGAGTCTTCATTCTTCTGTGCCCCTTACTGATGTTCCCAAACCAGGATGCCTGAAATGCGGAACCCAGGATGGCTCCTGGCACATAGTAGGCACTCAAATATTGATTGGACTGATGTATGACACCAAGAAGCAAAACAGGATGAGGTATAACACTCCTGGCCCCTCTCCTAGACCTGCCCTCCCCTTCTGAGAAATGCCCAGAAGCTTCTTGGGGAGGCGCTTGCCAGCCTGGACATCCAGGCACTCGGCAGGCAGCTCTAGCCCTTGCCTCCTGTCAGCATAATGCATGCGTATCTACAATATGGCAAATTTCATATCCTCCCACCCACTTTCCTGCATTATTGATAGGCTATGCACTTTTTAAAAATCAATTAGATCAGGGCGTGGAGCTGGAGTTAAAAAAAAAAAAAAGCCTTTAAAAGTCTGCTCTTGTTTTTTTGCTGTTTTGAATAGGAACAGATAAAGCTTTCCCTCTGGTTTGAATAAGTCAAGCCCAGGGCTAGCTTGGCTGTGATTGGCCAGAACTAGGAAAATGTGGTTAAGATGCAAACCCAAGCAAATATAACCCAGTGTCTGTGCAGCCATTACTAAGCTCAGGCGGCAGACCTGGAGACTCCTGCTTTGGGGTGGTTCTTCAAAAGCGCTGCTGCTTACTTGCCAGCAAACTGGGAAGACTGTGGGAGAGAAGCAAGGCAAGGTAAGGTCTGTTCGGTTTACGGGTGCATGCCAGTAGAGCGATCCTACTGAACAAGGAAGAAACAAAAGGGAGAGGAGATTGAGATTTCCCTTGCTCTGTCTTCAGTGAGGCTTTTAAAGGGTTGGACCAGGAGTTTGAAACACATTTTGCAAAGTTCTGCTGAAAAACCAAGGTCCTTTTTAGAGACCTCTGAACAGGACACATTTTTAAAAGCTGGGGATGAAGAAGACCCCTCAGAAAGATGGTCTGGGGCATGGGAGAGGTTAAAACCAGCAACCTCTGTTTGGGGTCTATTCATACTGGCATCTCTCTAAGAATTAAGGGCCACTAGCTTTTAACTCGTGATTTCAAAACTGCACCCCACCCCAGGGGTTTCTGCAGTGATCTTAAAGGGTGCTGAATTCATAAGAACCTGGGAGGAGGGAGAGAGGGACTAAGTTTGGGGGAAATTTGATGTCACAGATGGAGTCGCATTTTCTGGGTGTTCCAGTGTGGCAAGAAGTCCCTTTGAGCATGTCCTCTCCTGCATTTGGGGGACCCAGGACCCGTAAGATCCTTCCTGCTGACAAATGGGACTGCTTTTGGCCTCAAAGACGACCCTAATTAACGCCAGTTGGGTTGGCTTTTACCAGGTTGACACTTCTCTACTTTCAAGGATTGAATTCATTGGCCCTTGTCCCCTTTGCCTAGTTACTAACAGCATTTGCCTTGAATGACTGAAATGGAGGGTCTGAAGAAAACCTGAACAAATATTTCCTGGCAGTTCTGAGCAGCACAGGGTGGGGCGATGCAAGTTATCAAATTAAATCCTCAAACAGTGGCTGCTCCGCCTCGCTGCTCAGCTTTAGTCCTGCCATAGCAGTAGACAAAGGGAGTTTGTTTTTGTGTTTTCACTAAAATACATACTAAACAGCACATATTCTCCAAAACCGGGTTCATCCACCACAGCTCAAGGAAAGAATGGCCAGACATGCTCCTCTTAACAAGCACAGTGTGCCTCTAGATCGCAAAGCTCCACACAGCCTTTGTGGATGGGTTTTCATCCGACATAGACCATCAAGCCGGTCCTGTTCCTTTGCCTCTTGGGCATATCCATCATGTGTATTGTCATCAGATTGTAAGCTCCTTGAGAGCAAGAACCAGGCATGCCGTCTTTTTTTTTTTTAATATATTTTATTGATTTTTTACAGAGAGGAAGGGAGAGAGATAGAGAGTTAGAAACATCGATGAGAGAGAAACATCGATCAGCTGCCTCCTGCACATCCCCCACTGGGGAAGTGCCTGCAACCCAGGCACATGCCCTTGACCGGAATCGAACCTGGGACCTTTCAGTCCGCAGGCCGACGCTCTACCCGCTGAGCCAAACCGGCTTTGGCCAGGCATGCCTTCTAATTACATAAAGGCCCTATGGGACCATGGACATGTGTAGGTGCTTGATAACCCTGGATATGCCTTGAATAGAGATGGTGCATGATCCACACAGACTTCTCTTTACCACACTGCCTTCCTCCCCCCACCCAAGGCCAGGCACAGCACCACTGGCTCCTTAGGGTCGGGAAGAGGGAGGGCAGCAGCTCACTGGCAGGCCAGGCCACGCCCACCTCCCCCTGTTGGCACCTGTACTCTTTGTCCCAGGCCCAGCCTTGCTTGCCATTTTACTTTTTTTGCTGTGAGGTACAGGGAATATATTAGTCAAGTAGGATGGGTTGTCTGAGTTTTAGGATAGTTTACTTGAAAGTAAAAGCTCAAAGAAAAGGTCAGAGAGTTGACTGTGGAGGAGCGGGGAAGACATAGAAGGGATGAGAATGAGAGAAGGCAGCCCAATTTAGAAATACTTAGTTTGACATCAGCTTTCTTCCTGGTGTACCACTGAATTTAGATAAGTTTAGGAAGGGCTGCAGTACATCAAAAACACTAAAAGCACAGATTTTAGGATCAGATAAGGATTTCATACTAGTGTGTGATCCTGGGCAAATTATTTTATCTCTCCTGTTTTCCTACAATGTAAGACAAAGAAAATACACTCAGCTTATGAGAAATAAATGAGATAACATAAAGTGAATCAACACAGGGCTTAGCATATTTATCACTCCTTCAGTCAATAACCTGGTGTTACCAGAGTTCTTCACAAGGGAAGTGGCAAGTGGGAAGCAGAACTTCCAGGTGGGAGTCCTGGCCAGCCAGGCTAGCGATGTGACCTCGGACAAGTCATTTCCCCCATCCCTGTGAAATAGCAGGACATGGCAGGGTGGCTGACAAAAGATTCGGAAGTGACTTAGGAAGAAAGCTGGATGAATGACTGCTGGGATAGGCCTCATCTCCCTGCTTGCTCTATGATGTTTCAGTCCCAGGAAGACGAGAGCCATGTCTCTGAGCAGCGCCTTCAGGGCTGTGGGCAACGACCCTGGGATCATCACCTGGAGAATAGAGGTGAGCGGAACTGGGGCACACCTTCCCCCTAGTCACCCAGGCCTGATACTGGACAGCCCTTCTGTCTCGGGTCAGAAGCAGGAGAGACAGCATCTAAGTGCACATTTTCCTTTGACCCCGCCTGGGTGTTCAAAGCAGGTGGGTAGCAGGTGGCGGAAATGTTCTTAGCCTTGGAGAGAAGGGCTCCAAGCAAAAGTAAGCTTTGTCCTTTATTCAGCCATCTGCTCGGGTGAGTCTGCACTTCCAGTAAATGCCCTGGAGAGATGGGTGGGGCCAGGGCCCACCCAGGAGACTGATACTCCTAGCTGCTTTTGTCAGAACCAGAGTGCTCTGGCTCCCACAAAGTAGCAGGGGAGGTTTGGGGCACTGCACAGAAGAGGGCACGGCTCATCCCTCCTCCCACCTGGACTTGAGCCCTATGCTGACCTTGAGCTCCAGCACTCTGTAGCTAGGAACCGCCTGGGCCTGGGAAGCCCCACCGGCCAGATGAAAGGACCCCCACCCACCCTCATGTCCCTGCTCTGAGTGAGTGATGCCTAAAACCCAGAGGTGTGCCTCACTCCACTACCCTCCATGTAGAAGGAGAGTCACAGCCTCTAGCAAGCGGCTGAGTGTGTGAGAGGCCCAGGACATTTCCAATAGGTACTAAAAAGTACAAAAATTAGGGGTATTTAATATTTTTACATTTAACACACACATTTTACATAGAATACACACAAGTATGACTGCAGGTTTACCTCACTTGGAGTTAATGATGAAAATCTACATCTGAGGCCATGGAAATAGTCCTCCTGGGGCAAGACAGACACGCAGGTGATAAAGCAGGGCCCCAACCCGGACGCTGGGCTTGGAGCCCACTCGCAACTGGCATTCGCCCCAAAGCCCCACAGAACCTTAGTGTTCTGTTCTTGCAGACCTTGGCCAGCACTGGTGGTCAGAGTTGGAGAGCAATGTTGGAGGCAGCGGTGCAGCTGCTCAGAGGGAAGGTCTTAGTTTGTAGCTTATACCCAGCTCTCCCCTGCAGCGGGCCGAGGGTCCTCACAGTGCAGCAAGACAGCACAGGGCGGGCAGCAGGGAGGAGGATGGGGTGAGGATAGGCACCCAGATTCAGACTAGGGTATCCAGGTTGAGCTCAGAAGCCAGGTGGCCAGGCTACTCCTGCCACACCCTGTAAGATCAGCGGGACATCTCTCCTGCCTCTCCCCTGCTGTCTGTGACTTTGAGGAGAGGGCTGCTTCGGGGAGGGGGAAGGGGAGGTGGGAGGGAATGCAGCCTGTGCACATCCCTTATCCTTCCAGAAAATGGAGCTGGCACTGGTGCCCCTGAGTGCCCATGGCAGCTTCTATGAGGGGGACTGCTACGTCATCCTCTCGGTGAGCACCACCACCCCTCCCCTTCCCCCCCCCCCCCCCATTCCCACACGCTTCTCCCTAGAGCCAGGCTCCGCAGAGGAGAGACCTGACTATGCTACTCAGATCCCTGGTGTCGATCTTGATTCTTCCTCAATGTTATACAGGACAGGCCTACAATTTGACCTTAAAGGCCGTTCTTAGGTGGGAGTTTTCAATTTTGCATCAGAGGGTGGGGGTGGGGCCCTCAGTCTGAACTTAGATCTAAGTAACTCACAAACAGCACATCCTGGGGAGGGGGCAGCCCCCAGATTACAGTGGTGTGGAAGGCCAGATAAATGCAGGCCTCGAAGTGCTCATTCTAGTTGAGGAAATAACATCCCACATGAATAGTGCTGACAGCCACAAGATGGACAGATCAGCACTGTGCCAGCTCTGTAAGTTCAAGGGAATGGAGGAGCCACAAGGTAAGTCTGCATTCCAAGTTGGAAAAGGTCCCTGTTGCACTCCATTTATTTGAGAACAATAAGCTGTCAAATTTTCCCAAACATGGAGAGGAACTGCCTGAGCTTGAGCCACACTGTAGGTCCACATAGGGGCCACTGCAGGGAGGGAGAGGTCTGGACCCACTGCATGCTGTGTTCTCCCCATGCCAGTGGGGCAGCAGCAAAGGGGAGGCGAGCTGGTCCCTGATCTGTCTCTCTGGCTGCATCCCAGACCCGGAGAGCGGGCAGTCTCCTCTCCCAGGACATCCACTTCTGGATCGGGAAGGACTCCTCCCAGGATGAGCAGAGCTGCGCAGCCATCTACGCCACACAGCTGGATGACTACCTGGGGGGCAGCCCCGTGCAGCACCGAGAGGTTCAACACCATGAGTCCGACACCTTCCGCGGCTACTTCAAGCAGGGTATCATGTGAGTAGTTACGGATGAGCCAGGAAAAAATGGCAGTTTACCAAAAAGGAAACCCAAAGGACCAATAAGTACATGAAGAAAGTAATCAGAGAAATGTAAATCCAAACAAAGCTTATAATTTCCACTACTCGAGTAGCACAAATCTGAGAGCTGGGCGGTGCAAGTGCTGGCGAGATTGTGGGGAAATAGGAGCCCTTGTGCCTTGCTGGTGGGAGGGAGGGCTGGCACAGCATTTCAAAGAGTAATCTGCCCGAGGCAAATCCCATTTCTGGGTGTATAATTCAAAGGGATTCTCACATACCCAGTTCCATAAAGGCACATGAACCAGGATGTTCACAGCAGTTACCATTAGTGATGGCAGAAGCTGCAGGAAATGTAGACGCCCATCCCTGGCAGACTGGACAAGAAAAATACTCCATGACACTAAGGAGTACTACGCAGGAGCCAGAAGCAACGGCTTAGATACATACCTAACACGGACGGAGCTTAAAACCAGGGTGCTTTAGTGAACACAGTAAGAAACAGCCTTGAGCTATGTGCAGAATGCCAATTTGTTTTTTTTAAAAACCACATGCACACAAAACAACAGGTCGCATTTCACCAGAATAAAAATAAATCCATGTTTAACTGTTAGAATGGTTGCCCATGGTGGGGTGAAGACTGGGAGTAAGGTATGCAGATAAGAGAGAATACGTAAATACCTAAAATGAGAAGGTTCTGGTACTGCTCCATGAACTAATGAGTTTGAATAACTCAAAACTTTGCACTCAAGATTAAAACAAAAAGAAATTCCAATGAGCTCAAGAATTCTGAGGCTGGTCCAAAGCCAGCTTCGTGCAGATTGGCAGTTCCCACTGAGGACCTGCTGGGCACAGGGCAACACACTGTCACCAGGAACCTGGTATGGAGGCTGGTTGGGTGAGTGCCGGGGCAGGAGAACTGATTCCAGGAGGGAGTTGGTCCTCAGGCCATGGTGCCATCGATGCTTCTGCTGCTGCCCAGCTTGTGCCCCTCTCCCTGCCACACACTGATATTCACACAGTTCCCAGCACAAAACAAGCTCTTTCATGCTATGGGGTCTTCAGTACCAATGTTCCCTGTTTTGAACACTAGTTCCTTGTTGTTGGTTCCTATTCCTTTAATTCTCAGCTGGACTGTTACACCTTCTGAGAAGACTGCCTCACCACTCGGTCAAAAAGTCTGTCACTGTGTCTACTTCTGTGGCAGCGATTACTACCATATAGGTTTACTTTGCTTATTTACTGTTGTCACCCACATGGGCAGAAACCGCATCTGTGTAATTCACCACTGTCTCCCCGGTACCTAACACATAGCAGGTGCTCAATCAGTAACTTAATGGATGTTCCCTTAGCTACAAGAGGGGGGGTGTGGCCTCTGGGATGAAGCATGTGGAGACCAACACCTATGACGTGGAGCGGCTGTTACACGTGAAGGGGAAGAGAAACATCAGGGCCACGGAGGTAAGTCCTCCCACTCTTTCTGGGCCCAGGGCCTCTCTACCTGGTGCCTAAGGATTCCTCTTGAATAATGTCTACCTCCAGGTGGAAATGAGCTGGGACAGTTTTAACCGAGGTGATGTCTTCTTGCTGGACCTTGGGAAGGTTATCATCCAATGGAATGGTCCAGAGAGCAACAGCGGGGAGCGTCTGAAGGTACAGCTCTTTCCAGTCTTCCTGCTCTCCTCTCCCTCAGGCCTGCTCATAGAGCGTGGCTCTCTCAGGTGCCTTTTCCATCTTCCTTCCTTGCTGGCTCTTCCCTGAGATTCAAGGCGGACCCCTGCCTTGGAGTAGAGTCTGTTTTAGAAAGAGACCATGTGTGTGAGTCTGTGACTCACCCCTGGGCTCCTCAGCATCAGAGTAACTCCTGTCTGAGACCTAGGCTGCTCCTCCCAAAGCCATTGGGCAGAGATGCGGGGAGGGGCAGAGAAGCTAAGTGCTTCCATGGGTTTCCTTGACAGGCTATGCTTCTGGCAAAGGATATTCGGGACAGGGAGCGAGGGGGCCGTGCTGAAATAGGAGTGATCGAGGGAGACAAGGAGGCAGCAAGCCCAGAGCTGATGAAGGTCCTTCAGGACACCCTCGGCCGACGTTCTATTATCAAGCCTGCAGTTCCAGATGAGATCATAGATCAGCAGCAGAAATCAAATATCATGTTATATCAGTGAGTAGCTAAACCTGGCTGCTGGTTGGAGCTGGGGCAGGGGGAGGGTGTCCCCTGGAAGACTAGGGGATACTTCTGCTTGGCTCCTCATTTTGGGTGCAGGAGTCTGGCTTCCTTTTAGTCTTTTTCCCATGCAGCTTCTAGAAAGAGCTTGCTGTTCCGATTCAAGGAGGCAGCTACCATCTGTCCTTGTCAGCAACTCTTCCTGGTCTCTTGGGGAAACTGTTCCTTTACTCTGATCTATGCCTGCGCAGGGATGTGACGGGATGTTTGGAGAGAGATGCACAAGTCTCCGCTAGAGAACTGAGTCCCTCACATTCCTGTCTGCATTCACGCCATGCCTGTCACAGGGAGTCAAACTCTCCCCAGAAACTCCGCATTAAAACAAAGCCAGGAAAATACCTAACGACTACAAGATGCTTTGCAGAAGAGAAGGCACAGGCTAACCTCTCCCTTTCTCCAGTGTCTCAGACTCAGCTGGGCAGCTGATGGTCAGAGAGGTAGCGACGAGGCCGCTGGTCCAGGACCTACTGAACCATGATGTAAGCAGAGCTTGAGTGGGGTGGCCAGACCTGGCCTCGGGGCAGGCCCTGGGAAAGTGTAACCACCTTTGTCCCTGACTGCTTCAGGACTGCTACATCCTGGACCACAGCGGAACCAAGATCTACGTGTGGAAAGGAAGAGGAGCCACAAAGGCTGAGAAGCAGATGGCCATGTCTAAGGCCCTGGTAGGAGCTACAGATGCACAACATTGTCCAAAAAATTCTGTCAGTAACACTTCAGCTGTGCTCAGAGAGCCACACCAGGCCCTGAGCAAAGCACACTGCAGTTACATACATGGACTTCGAAGTCAGGCAAACTGGGATTCAAATCTAGGTTCAATGCCATCCCCTGGAGTTGTTGTGGGGATTAAATAACATCTGTTAAGGCATTCAGAACAGTACCTGGTACACACTGGGTCAATAAAAGGTGGTTGTTACCATTGAAGGGGACAGATAGCACGTATCAAGGGTAATGGCCCTGTCCTCAAGGAGCGTATGATATTGTGCAGACCCCGCAGATGAACCAAGCAGTATGCACTCACAGAGCAATAAATGGGCAAATGAATGTGAGACAAAGTCAGTATTCTACATGAGTGTTCAAAGAACAGAAAATAAGAATAATCATCATGATAGGCCAATAAACAGATGATAAATGTTCCACTCAGTACTTTCCTTGAGTGAGGTACATTTGTCCTAGACAGAAATGAGTTAGAATTTGACTCTGACTCCCAGAAGGGAATAAGGGAGCAATCCTACCAACTGGCTTCAAAGGGGTGAATGACCGGTCAGCAAAGGACTCGGTGCATTCCCTGACTGACCTGCTTTTCGGGGGGTGGCGGGGTATCTACAGAACTTCATCAAGATGAAGGGCTACCCCAGCAGCACCAATGTGGAGACCGTCAACGATGGTGCTGAGTCAGCCATGTTCAAGCAGCTGTTCCAGAAGTGGTCCGTGAAGGAGCAGACCGTGGGCCTGGGGAAAACGTTCGGCATTGGTAAAATCGGTAAGATCGCCTCAGACTGTCTTCCTACCGAGACTGTGGGAAGACAGGCATGGATGATCTTCACTCACTCGGCTTCTCCCAACCCCTTCTCTGCAGCTAAAGTTTTCCAGGATAAATTTGATGTGACTCTGCTGCACTCCAAACCAGAGGTAGCTGCCCAGGAAAGAATGGTGGACGACGGCAATGGAAAAATCGAGGTAAGCCTAACGACTCCCATCTCAGTGCGGGTGGGCAGCTCTGGCCCCATCTCCTCTATTCTGCTGTAGAGGAGGGCAGGTGATTTTGTCTGCTTTGCCTTCCTTTTCATCTCCGGTGCCTAGGAGTATTCTCTCCAAGGTGTCTGAGTCTGCAGTTTTCCCACAATGCTTCAGGGAAGTGAAAGGCATATACCCTAGTGAGCTATCAATAACTCACCTGGCAGGACTATTCAAATCACCTCTGAGCTGACAGGAGGTGCCTGACGAGGGACAATCCAGTTCTCCTCCAGATTCAAATCATGCAAATGTGATAAGGCCTGCCACTGGGAAAGCAGCCCCAGAGGGGGCAGGGGACTTTGAGTGGCAGATGTTAGTGCCTTTCCTGAGGATTCTCTGCTAAGCACCGCCCGTTCCCCTCAGCCAGCTGTCTCTTCAAATAGGACCCCATCTCTGGGGAACTGTCTCCTTCTGTGCCCAGGTCTGGAGAATTGAAAACCTGGAGTTGGTCCCCGTGGAGCATCAGTGGCACGGCTTCTTCTATGGGGGAGACTGCTATCTGGTTCTCTACACATTCGAGGTTTACGCGAAGCCACGTTACATCTTGTACATCTGGCAGGTAGGCCTGGGCAGGCTCTCAGCTTTCAGAGACGGTGCTTCCTCCGGCCACTAGGCTGGGGCAAGGGCAGCAGCAGCCATTTCTCCCGTCACCGCTGCAGGGCCGCCACGCCTCACAGGACGAGCTGGCAGCCTCGGCATTCCAGGCGGTGGAGGTGGATCGGAAGTTTGATGGGGCCCCTGTGCAGGTCCGGGTTACCATGGGGAAGGAGCCACGCCACTTCATGGCCATCTTCAAAGGAAAGCTGGTTATCTTTGAGGTGAGAGCCCTCAGATAAAGTTACACCATGAGCCAGAATGCTCCGCACTAACAAGTAGGGGCTACGGTAGAGGAGAGGGGTGGGGAGCAGGCCTTGGGGTAGACATGGAAAAGAAGGGGTTAATCTCCAAGACACTGAAGTGAATCCCAACTGCCTAGGCCTTCAAGTCCAAACCACTGCCTAATTCATGCTCAAGGTCTTTCATAATCTGACCCAGATTACCCCTGTAGGTGTGCTACCCTCACTCCCTAACCTACACGCGCCACTCGTCAGGTGGGTCTCCTCACTGGGCCGCACATGTGCCATATCGCACTCCCTATCAACCTTTCCCACCGAATGTCCTTCAGATTCAAGTCCTACCTCTTCTATGAAGCCCTGGCTGAAGCACTACCAAAAATGTATAATGGCACATGCTTGACATACATAAGTCTGTGGTCAAGTCCTAGTCTTGCCATTTATTAGTCAGGTTTCTAAGCCTCAGTTTCCCCATCTGTACTATGGGATGATACCTTCACAGTTATTTGGAGGATCAATGAAATGATGTAGGTAAGGCACCAGCCACAAAGCCTCCACATAACAGAGGTCTCAGGATGAAAGCTAACATTATTGGTACCAGTTAGCCTACATGCTCCTCAAAGGCAAATCTGGTGTCAAATACATCCATGTTCTCCTCAACAGCTAGCCCAGTGCTCTCTCCCATGGTGCACCTCAAATCCAAACTCTGCTTTTCTCCTCTCTAGGGTGGGACTTCCAGGAAGGGAAATGCCGAGCCCGACCCTCCAGTAAGGCTCTTCCAAATTCAAGGAAATGACAAATCTAACACCAAAGCAGTGGAGGTGCCAGCCTTCGCCTCCTCCCTGAACTCCAATGACGTCTTTCTGCTGCGGACGCAGGCAGAGCACTACCTGTGGTACGGCAAGGTAGGATGGCTGGGCTCAGTGGTCATACCAGCCCTGTGCCCACCCTCCTGTCAGCAAAGCTGGAAGAGTTCACAGAAAGATGAACCTTTTTCCTAAAGGGTCTTCAAAGGGACTGCCAACATTCCCCACAATTAGGCCTCCAATTAGAAAGTCAATGACCGTCCTGCCCATACCCAGAGACACTCCATAAACTTCAAAATAACACGGTCTTTGCACACCAGTTTGGTGGATTACAATAAGACAGGCATTACCACTGAACAATAACACGAAAAATGTGATTTTTGTCCATTCAGACTGCATCTGCATTAAAAAGAACTAAGTTGTTTTACAAAAGAGAATTGAACAGGAAAAGATGCTCAACATCATTAGTCATTAGGGAAATGCAAGTGAAAACCCAATGAGATACACACTTATTAGAATGACTAAAAAAATTGAGAATATCAAGTGCAGATGAGGATGTTTCTTATAAAACATACACTTATCATACAATCCAACAATCCCACTTCTGGGCATTTAACCATGTGAAATAAAACAGTCTTCACACGAAGACCCATATACAAATGTTTATAGCACATAGCACCTCTATTCACAATCACCGGAAACTGAAAGCATCTCCCCTGGAGAATGGATAAACAGCATCACATCCATACAATGGAATACTACTCAGCAACACAGAGAGTGAGTGTCAAATACCCACAACTACAAGGATGAGACTAAGTGAAAGCAGCCAGACTCAAAGGCTACATGGTGTGTGATTCCACTTATGATCTCTGGAAAAGGCAAAACTAGTGTGATGGAGAGCAGAACAGTGGTTGCCAGAGGTTAAGGATGGGAAGAGTTGGATACAAAGGGATAGTATCTTTTGCTGGGGCAAGGCAACTGTTCTGATCCTTTGTTGTGGTGGTAACTCGATTCAATGCATTTGTCAAGACATAAAACCATATGCCAAAAAGAGTGAATTTTTGTGTATGTAATTTTAAAAATAAGTTTAAATTTTTCTCTTAAAAAAGTATTAAAAGTGGGTGGTAAAATTCCAACTGAAACCAAAACAAAGGTGACTCTTGTCAACATCCATGTGGTTTCAGAGTCGTTTTGTTCTTTGCCACCATAGTGTTTTCCTCCCCCCACCAGAGCCCCTTCCCAGCACTAGAACAAACCTACTCCCCTGTCCCAAAGTACTATGGCTTGGTTGCTGATCTAGCTACACTAAGCTATTAGTCTCAGAAGCTTTTTTTCTACATCAATGTGCTCATGTGCAACTAACATCTGTGTTCTCCTCACCCCACTCTCAGGGGTCTAGTGGGGATGAGCGGGCAATGGCTAAGGAGCTGGCCGGGATTCTCTGTAATGGCACCGAGGACACTGTGGCCGAGGGCCAGGAGACCCCGGAGTTCTGGGACCTGTTGGGAGGGAAAACTCCCTATGCCAGTCACAAAAGGTAGGGGACCACAGCATCCCTCCCCGTGGCCCCCCGCCTCCCAGGCTTGCGAACCGCACGTGATTTCTAAGCTCAGTTCCTCCAAATGGACTTATTGCAGACTACAGCAGGAAGCCCTGGATGTCCAGCCCCGTCTCTTTGAATGTTCCAATAAGACTGGCCGGTTCATTGTCACTGAGATCACAGAATTCACCCAGGATGACCTCAACCCAAGTGATGTGATGCTCCTGGATACCTGGGACCAGGTAAGACACAGCCAGAGTGCTTTGAACGAAAGACAGAGATCCTCACAGTTTGGGCTATTTTTATGTAGTAACTCCCCTGCCAGAATAAACCCAGAGTAACCCTGGACCGTCCCCAAGTCAATCAAACAATTGTCAATGGTGACCAATAACAGAGCCTGCTTTTTACCAGAGTTGAAAAGAACAGAATGTTGTTTAAAACTCACCATCCTGGGAACTCTCCCACCTTGCTCTGGAAAAAATCAGGCCATCCTATCTGTCATCAGGCACTTCTTTCTCTCAGGATCAATAGCAGCAGGTTCCACACCCAGATATGGGCCTTTGAGGAACAAAGGGGTATCTCCCAGGCAACCTCCCCTGACATCCCATTTTCTTCAGTTTGGCTCAGCAAACATGCTCAGCACCTCCTCTGTTCTAGGAGCGAGGTGTGATGTCACCGAGGTGAGGAGTGCCATCCTGCTCTGGGACTTCACAGGCTGATGGGGGTGGGGACGTAGGAGCATCATTTTACTATGATGGAGGTGCATAAAAGGTGCCACGGGAGCACAGATTAGGGGCACTCACACAGTTTAGCAGCTCAGAGCTGACGTCCTGGAAGAGACGGCTCCCGACTGAATCTCCAAGGATAAATAGGCATTAATCGGGTAAAGAGGGCACTCTGGGCACAGGAAATGCACAGGTACAAGCGAGGCATGGAGTACTCTAGTGCACATGGAACCACGGAAGAAAAACATTATCGGAACATAAGACAGCTAAAGAGCACCCTGGAGATGCAGCTGAGGAAGCAGGTATGGACCTTACCTACTATGTGAAAAAGTTTGAGATTTATCCTGGAAAGCTACTGAAATTTAAGCAGGTGAGCGGCAAGGTCGGACTGCACTTTAAGAGAAGAGCATTCCAGCAAGTGCAGGAGAGGAGGGATGGGGGTGAGAACAAAAGAAGACTACGCTGGGAGGCCATTCAGTAGTCTATTGTTAGAGTTCAGTTAAGTGCTGCTGCGTGGGCCCACATAGGAGCAATGGAGGAGAGATGCAGAGATGGTGACAGATTTGATAAATCCAGAGAAGGTAAACTGGCTGACCTGAGTAACTCACTGGATATAGGACATTTAGGATGAATCCCAGGTTACGGCCTTAAAAATGACTGGGTGGACGCCATTCACCAAGAATGGAGACACAGACCAAAGTTTAGAAAAGAGTTACATTTTGGAGTGTTATATTTGAGGTGCTTGAAGACAGCCAAGAGGAGGTGTTTTGCAAGAAGTTGGATTCAGGAAGTTGAAGTTCAGAGAAAGAGCTCAGGTCTGGAGATGTACATATGGGAGATACACACGGCAATTAAAATCACAAATCAAGCCCTGACCAGTTTGCTCAGTGGCTAGAGCAGCTGTGGGCAAACTACGGCCCGCGGGCCGGATTCGGCCCGTTTGAAATGAATAAAACTAAAAAAAAAAAAAAAAAAAGACCGTACCCTTTTATGTAATGATGTTTACTTTGAATTTATATTAGTTCACACAGACACTCCATTCATGCTTTTGTTCCGGCCCTCCGGTCCAGTTTAAGAACCCATTGTGGCCCTCGAGTCAAAAAGTTTGCCCACCCCTGGGCTAGAGCGTCGGCCTGTGGACTGAAGAGTCCCAAGTTCGATTCCGGTCAAGGGCATGTACCTTGGTTGCGGGCACATCCCCAGTAGGGGGTGTGCAGGAGGCAGCTGATCAGTGTTTCTCTCTCATCGATGTTTCTAAGGGATCATCGCATAGATCATCCCATAGAAACATTCTAAGGGATGTTTCTATCCCTCTCCCTTCCTCTCTGTAAAAAATCAATAAAATATATTTTTTTTAAAAAATCACAAATCAATTGATTCTGAGAAAAGCCCTCTGCTGAGGCTGTGAATAGCTGAGGGGGTAAGAGAGGGCAGTGTTTAGGATCTAGTACACGGTACTTGTTATGAGCACATTAACTAATATTCAATCTCTACCATAACAGGTGTTCTTGTGGATTGGGGCTGAGGCCAATGCCATAGAGAAGGAGAGCGCTCTGGCTACAGCCCAGGAGTACCTGCACACTCACCCTAGTGGCCGAGACACTGACACACCGATCTTGATCATCAAGCAGGGGTTCGAGCTTCCCATCTTCACAGGCTGGTTCTTGGCCTGGGACTCTCACATTTGGAGTGTAAGGACAGAGAACGGGGAGGCGTTCTTAATGTCAGGGAGCTCAGCACTGATAGCTCGGCAGGACAGTGGGGTACTCAAGGGCTGAGTAAATCCAAGTCCACATTCCCCTTACTCCCTGTCCCCTGCTTTTTACTTCTCTTTCCCACCCTCCACAGCACGAAGTCCAGTTAGAGAATTCACAGCTTAGTTCAGGAATAAGCAGCATGTAGAAGTAATAATGTTTAGAAAGTATACCCACACACCTGTTTTTTAGCTTTACAACCATCCTGCCACTGTAAACATGGTTTCCCATGTTACAGATGGGAAGCTTAGAGGAGAAATTATTTGTCTGAAGACACAATTAACCAGGTTTTCTGACTCCTAGTCAACTGCTGTCTTAAGTCTTATACGGAGGATTGAGGGACCACCAGCAAAGAATGCATATGTTTCATACCTTCCAATCCTGCATGGGCCCAGAGGGATTTTCATTTTTGCTCATCCCTGAAATGTCCTGGGATTCTCTGGCATTTTTGCTTTTCTCAAGGGTTCAGATTAGGCCTGAGATGGCCATCCTTATATGCAGCACTTCATCCTATGTTTTCTATCTCTTCCTTACAGGCAGGGAAATCCTATGAACAGTTAAAAGAAGAGCTGGGAGACACTGCTGCCATCATGAGAATCACTGCTGTGAGTTCTTGGAGGAGCAAGTCAGACAGGCAACCAGAACCAAAGGGAAACACGAGTGCTACAGATGTCACAGGGTGACACCCTGTGATGTCCTCTCAGTATCACTCAAGTCGTCTGTTCTGATATGAAGACTGTTTTAATGAATAGAAAAGCAGGTCTCAGAGCCAAGTTCCTTAGTTTACCACCTTCCAGAATTTAGAACAGACTTGCTGTTTTTAAAAAGCAACAAAAACTAATTTTAGTATTCAACTCGCTCTGTCATTCAGGACAGATTAAATTTATTGACAGCATTTCTCAGAAGTAGTAAGTTTCTAACCCAAATGATGTGTTTATCAGTTCCTGACAGTGGAATCCACAGAAATTCAGATCATTACCCCTATTTTAATGGCTAAAAGAAGTGGAGCCTCTGCCAGGAATTCAACAGCAATTTAACATCAGGATGAGTTGGACAGCACCAGCTGTCCGAAACAACTGGCAGCTATGTCCTTTGTGCTCTACAAACTCAAGATTCCAAAGCTAATGGTGATGTCGCATCTTTAAAATGTATTTAAGGAAAGTATGACTTCAACTGAAGTCACTTAAAGCCTGGAAATGCAGAGCCTAAGTTAAGTGCCAAGAGAGGGATGCGATCACAATATTTAATGAGATTTAAGCACAGCACTGATGCCAAACTGGCTACACAGGATTTACCTTATATTTATTCAATCAGCTTTCCCAAGGACCCCAAAGTCTGAATATTTTGGATTCCCTGACGATTCTGACATGCAGCCAGGTTTGGGGACAACTGTTCTAAAAGCTAATTACAAAGAGTGAAGTGGTATAAACCAAAATTTTAATATTATACAAACAGACCTTCGATTGCACAAACCTGAACAGTTTTTTACCGTGTCTCCGTTTTCATCTATTTTACCTAGGACATGAGGAATACAACCCTCTCCCTGAATTCTGAGATAAAATATTACCCTATAGAAGTTCTACTGAAAAATCAGAATCAAGAATTGCCTGAGGATGTGGACCCTGCCAAAAAGGAGGTGAGTCGCTGAAGGAGCTGTGTCTGATGCAAGTGCAGCTCTCCAGGAGTAAAGTGCCTGTCTCCATACAGGGCCTAGGACACTTCTGGAACACTGTAAGCACTCAGACATTTGAGCTACCAGTATCTCAAAAACCCAGGGCTCTTTCTTTCTTTTATTTTATTATTATTAACCAAAGAATATACTTTATTCAGATACCCTCAGTTTTTCTCCATTGTCCATTTTGTTTCAGGATCTTATCCAGGACATCCTGTTACATTGAGCAGTATTGTTTCCTTAGGCCAGTGGTCGGCAAACTCAGTCAACAGAGCCAAATATCAACAGTACAACTGAAATTTCTTTTGAGAGTCAAATTTTTTAAACTTAAACTATATAGGTAGGTACATTGTTATTAACTTAATTAGGGTACTCCTAAGGCTTAAGAAGAGCCACACTCAAGGAGCCAAAGAGCCGCATGCATGTGGCTTGCGAGCCACAGTTTGCTAACCATGGCCTTAGGCTATCCTTTTTTTTTTTTTAATATATATTTTATTGATTTTTTACAGAGAGGAGAGGAGAAGGATAGAGAGTTAGAAACATCAATGAGAGAGAAACATCGATCAGCTGCCTCCTGCACACTCCCTACTGGGGATGTGCCCGCAACCAAGGTATAGGCCCTTGACCAGAATCGAACCTGGGACCCTTCAGTCCGCAGGCTGATGCTCTATCCACTGAGCCAAACCGGTTAGGGCTCCTTAGGCTATTCTTGGTTGTCATAGTTCCTCCAACTTTGTCTTTGATGACTCTTAGTCCTATGCCTTCTGTAACAAATTACATCATAAGATGTCCTTAGATTTTTAGACACATCCACAAAGAAATGGCTGCAGCTTAAGTTCCAGTTTAGGCAAATAGCTGGCTGGTGTGGCTCAGCTGGTTAGAGCATCATCCTGTACACCAAAAGGTGGGGGGTTAAATTCCCAGTCAGGGCACATAACTAGGTTATGGGTTTGATCCTGTGGGGATGTGCACTGGGGGCAACCGATCAATGTTTCTCTCTCTCTCTCTCCCCCACTCCCTCGTTCTCTCCCGTCCTCTCACTCTTGCTCTCCCGGAGGGGCACACATTACCAGCCATCCCGTCCCCTTCTTGGTCACCACAGCCACCACCACCAAACAACTGACACTAATAAGTAACTATTCATCCCCACTGACTCCATTGCTTGCTGCCAGCCGCCTGCCGTCCTACCGGGCTCTTTCTTTCTTTTATTTATTTTTTTTTTTTGTGGGAGGGTGGGCGGGTTAATCCTCACCAGAGAATATGTTTCCATTGATTTTTAGAGAGTGAAAGGAAGGGGGAGACACACAGAGAGAAACATCAATGTGAGAGAGTTACATCAATTGGCACGTAGACCGATCAGAGCTAAAGGATGCCCTTGCCCTGAATCGAGCTTGGGACACTTCAGTCCGAGGGCCGAACTGGTTGGGGCTCCAGGGCTCTTCTTTGATGTTTTTCTCACCTCCCACATCAATCCATCAGCTAGCCTCTGTCCACTGCTCTCCACCTCTCTGCTGCCAGTCTGGTCCAGCCATCATGGCCTACCACAACAGTCCCCAACTGGTCCCTACACCATTTCTACAATCTGTTCCCCACCTAACAGCCAATGAGCTATTGAAACAGATGACACTGTTCTACTTAAAGCACTTGAATGGCTTCCTACTGCACATACAAAAGAAACCAAAGTCCTTTCCATGGCATCCAAGGCCCTACCCAATCTGCCCCCTGCTCCCCTCTGATTTTTTTTTTAAATATATTTTACTGATTTCCCACAGAGAGGAAGGGAGAGGGACAGAGAGCTAGAAACATCATTGAGAGAGAAACATCGATCAGCTGCCCCCTGCACACCCCCCACTGGGGTATGCCCGCAACCAAGGCACATGCCCTTGACCGGAATCGAACCTGGGACCCTTGAGTCCACAGGCTGACGCTCTATCCACTGAGCCAAACCGGCCAGGGCTCCCCTCTGATTTAATCCCACACACCAGTACCCTCTTCACTTAGCCCCCTTCAGCCAGTAGCTGCTTTTCTTCTAACATGTTCATTCCAGCCTTTGAGCCTCTACACTTGCTATTGCTCCTGCCAGAAAAAAAGTAAGTCAACGCCTCATTATTTAGGTCTCAGCTCCAATATCACGTCCCCAAGAAGGCCATTCCTGACTATCCTACCTAACACTGCTTCCCTCACCCCTCCAGTCCCTTTATACTGTGTATTGTCTGTCTCCCCCTCTAGTAGTATCCTTAAGAGCAAGGGCCTTATCTGTCTTGTTCACCATCACATTCTCACCTTTTCACCACCTAAAACAGTACCCGACAAATAGTAGGCACTTCTTTAGTTCTGGTTAAATGAATTAACATACTCACGTGGAATGAATTACTCTCTCCCTTGAAGGATTTGATTTGGGAAGCGTCTCTAGATTTTCCACGACATCTTATCTAACCAACTCCTGAGTACTAGACGACAGCTTTCTTAAAAGCACAGGTCATATATTAATAATGTTACTTGGATAGGAAATACTCATTAAACATCAACAAATAAATGTTAGGAAAATTTTATGCTCTCAACAAGATCCACCTGATCTTGTATTTGAAAATGTCTGGGCCCTGGCATGGTGGTTCAGTTGGTTAGAGCATCATCCCCATACACCAAGATTTTGGGTTCAATCCCCAGTCAGAGCACATACAAGAATCAACCAATGCATAAATAAGTGGAATAACGAATCGATGTCTGCCTCTCTCTCTCTCTCTCTCTCTCTCAATTTTTTTAAAATGTCTGGATAAAAATGAGATATGGGCATAAAGCAAACTATTGCTCCATTTAGTTCTCTATGTAGCCAAAACCTAATGTCTAGAAATCATACATAATATATAACCCATTTCTTGTCCCTCTGGCAAGAAACTGGTGCCAGGTGACTCCGTGAGAGAAGTGAACTAATCAGTTCTTCCACAGGCCAAGATGGGACTCTACAACCTGAAGAACTCTCCAGTGAATAATTTAAGTCTATTACTGAATTTCTAAAATCCAGTCTCCTTCCCCTTCAAGGTCCTATCCCTCTTAGCCCCACTCTCCCAAACTGTTGGCACTGATAGGTGCCATGCTTCCTTTTAACCGGAAACTTTCTTTTCTTTCTTAGAATTACCTCTCTGAACAGGACTTTGTTTCTGTGTTTGGCATCACAAGAGGGCAATTTGCTGCTCTGCCTGGCTGGAAACAGCTCCAAATGAAGAAAGAAAAGGGGCTTTTCTAAATCACGCAAGCAGAGACATACTGCAAGAGCACAGAAGAGAGCAGATAGTGCCAATATCAGGAAAGAATTTATCTACCAATTGTTGCCTAACATTCAGCTACTTCATTTAGATAAAACAGGGTCTGCAAATGACAGCATGTTCTCCATTTTTCTCATCCCTGCATTCCTTAGTTGTTATATACTCACTTTTTAATTTTTGTGGCCTTCTGGCTAAAGCCTCAGCGGAAAGCACTAAAACTACATGAGTCTGGAGAAGCCAAAAGTAATACAACAACAAGAAAACAGCAACTAAGTTTAAAGTGTTTAGGCAGAAACCTAAGTTTGTCTCCAATTTTAAGATCAGTATTTCCAAAACCGATTTACCCACAAATCATTGAAGTTAATTACATGTATATCCCAAAGCCAAAATCCAAATGCCCAGATCTGTATGTGCCAGAGCTTTTAACTTTTCAAATAAAGATACCTATATGAGCAAATGCGAGTTCTGTTCAGTATTATGGTTTTGCCCATTCTAGTGATCATCTGATGTACTGCTGGGAGAAATGTCTCAGGATGAGGGAAGTACAGAGGCACTGTTGGGTGAGCTCTCTAGATCACTGGACCACTGTGATTCCTGTTTTTGGCACAAGAATGCCAAAATCTGCTGTACAGCTGTCCAGGAAAACCCCATTATCCAACAGAAAACTAGGGTCATGTGTTATTAATTTCAGTGATGAGGCCAGAACCAGTGTGAATACCACCAGAGAGCCTTCAAAGCACACTACAGAGATCAACAAATGAACCACATTTTCCAGACAACTCTAGGTTTGAGTCAACAATTCCAAAAGAACCCATGTGGCAGGAGTAATGTCACTGGGAAGTTCCAGGATGGAAGCATGGTGCAAAGCATCAAAGAGACTTCCATGTCACAGAAGTAAGATAGGAGGAGTGAGAAGTTTTAGGGACACCATAATAAACCTATGAAGGGAGCACGTGGATGCCTATTTTCTCAGAGACTGTCAATAAGGCCCATTTGTTGTTTTCTAAGACACACAAAAGCTGAACCCAGCATTACGCAAACAAGGAAAAGATTCTACTCTCTTTATTATATAACAATTTTATTTAATAACTTTACTCATGATGTATAATTTCATTACAAACACAAATGAAAAACAAATCCTGGGTTTGAAGAGGCTTAGAAAATAACTGCTTTTTGTAATAAAGCCCAGAACTAAGAACAAATGTTTCCTCCTGGCCTGAAGTCTCTGGAACCTATTCAGCCTCTGCTGCCTCTCCCTCTTCGCCACATTCAAACCGCACAAAGTCTACCACGGACACTCCCTGGGGCTGCACATACTGTCCCAATGTGATAGAGGGATCCAGCAAGTACGGCTGGGACAGCATCTTGGTTTCTGTCTCTCCCCCAGGCTCATCGTCCAGGGAGCCAACAGAGAGAGGGGCCATGCCTACCACATGCTGCCCAAGGCGGCGGCCAAGTTCTTCCAGGTTTGCTTTCCACTCAGATATCTCGCAGATGACCAGGGCCCCGTACTTCCCCAGCACCAGGTTGTGGAGTGAGGGACTGTGCATTGTTCCATGGACATAAGAGCCAACATAGAACCCATTTGGCACCTTCACCCATGCAGCTCGTTTAAGAGTCATGTTTTCTCCCAGTTTCCCTATAAAAAAGCAAAAACAAAAAACACGCTTCCAGAATATGATGCCTGTTGTAGTACCAAAT